TTCTTTCAGCCATGACAGATCCTTGCTCCAATCTCTTCACCAGAGGAGACTTCAACTTCGTACCTCTAAATCCCCACTACAGTACTTGTTTCAGTACAACAAATCATCCATTATCGAAGCTCAGAGCTCACCTCCTCGCAAACAAGCTCTTCCTCTCATCAATTATCTGAGCAGTGAGACTGAACCTTCAAGCAGTTCCATGGAAGGTGATAAGCGCCTGTTGTATTCCAACGCTGCTGCTGGTGCTGCCGATGATGAAACTGAAAATGTAACCCTAAACATAGGGCTGCCTAGCCCTATCTCCGATCTGAGAGTTGGGGTTTCCCCCGCTACTCATGTGATGGACAGATTAGGAGGGGATGGCAGTGCAGTTTGCAAGGGAAAGTACTGGATTCCTACCTTACTCAGATTCTCGTTGGTCCTACACAGTTCTCATGTCATGTCTGCTGCAAGACCTTTAACAGATACAACAATCTGCAGGTATGCCCTCATTGCATGAGACATGATCCGCCAAAATTGCTTTATTTCCTCTTTTCTCGCATCGTACTTTCATTTCCATTCATTACCCTTTTCTTCACATCTCATCTTAATTATGTTTGATTATGTACTTGGTTTCAAGTCGCTGGGTTTGAGTCATTAAGGTACTGAAAATGTTGTTGTTGCTTCTTCAGACTTTGAAGAGTGTGCTTAAAGCTAAACCCCAAACCCAGATAATTGCAAATATAGGTTCATATGCTAGAGTGATGAGTGTTTTCATCAGGGTATTTTTCTTTTTGTTCAAGTTTTAGATTGTTCATCAGGTTTTTAACTCGTCTGGGTTCAGATTTCAGGTGGTCTTTACTCTTTACTTTGAATATCTCTTGCCTGCAAAAACAAGCACCCTAGATTTGCATCCCCAACAGACAAAAATGTGTTAGTCTGGCACACCAGAATTGAAATTTGAGACTTAAATAACTTGCTGAACCTTCAAAGATAACCAACAAACATTATCCCTCTCTCTGATCTTCATCCAATTGTTATTTTGCTGTTTATTTCCTTCTTCACTCTTTGGTATCTGATTTGATGCATGTAAACACATTCCCTAGGTCTTGATTGGTCTTGTTTTTTCGATTATTTAAGTTAATAAACGAACATATCGAATAATCCGTAACTTATTCTTCTAACGTTATATCCATTCACACCTCTAATCCTATATCCATTGTGCATTATGTTATATATGTACTTTTTGCTAGTTAACTTAAGGTTACCGACTTCCTTGTCTCGATTGATATATCTGAATACAATTCATGGATAATAATTGTTGGGGTTGCTGCTGCGGTGTCGCAGTTACATATGTTGTGAACGTTATGTAGCGGTGTTCTGGCTTGTGCAGATGCATATGTGGGGGCATGGATCACACTATAGAAAGGGGCCAGATTCCCTAAGAGGAACCAGCCAACGGCTATGCTAAGGCTCCCATGTTACTGCTGTGCACTGGGGTGTAAGCACAACATCGACCACCCGAGAGCAAGGCCGCTCAAACAGGGTGTGAAGCCCTTCGCCTGCCGGAAATGCGACAAGGCGTTCGCGGTGAAAGGGGACTGGAGAACACACGAGAGAACTGTGGGAAGATTGGTATTGCATCTGTGGGTCGGACTTCAAGCACAAGAGGTCTTTGAAAGACCATATCAATGTCTTTGGCCCCGGCCATGTTCCGGTTGGCATCGATTCTTTGGATGAAGATGATGAACCAGTGTCCGAATTTGAGCTTGAATGTGATAGTCCTCATTATCAGCCTTCAAGTGCTCCAACCAGCAGTTGCCACGCCACCACCGTCTCATCGCCGGATCTAGAAGATCTGGGTGCATTTAATGCACCCAGCTAAATCACCAGACACTATACCAACCCTAGAGTGAGTCACCACCATAGCTCCGGTGACTCACCAGGGTTTTCCCTTTTAACCGGTCTATAGAGTGATTCGAAGAACCCTATAAAAGGATCGAACTTGCAAAAGAAGAAAAGGGGGAAAGCAACGAAAAGACGAACACACAACAACCAACCAATGAAAAAAAATCTGAAAAAAAAAAGAGAAAAGTCTGAGAGAATCTTACCCTCGTCGGACCTTTCAAGCGTTGTCGGAGAAGTCGAAACATCGAAGGTAAACGATTAGATTTACTTCGATTGGTTAGTTTTTAGGATAAATGGTTCTCGGTTTCAGATTTAAAGTAAATAAAGGATTGATTTGGTGGCTGTCGGTGCCAACATATGGCGGCCGGCTGGTGGCCGAATTTCCTTCGATATGGGAGTTAGAGAGAAGTCAGAGCTCTCTCAAAAAGGAGAAAATGAGAGGGTGTAAGCCCTTTGGAGCCGGATTTGTAAACTTTATGATTTAGTCACTAAAATTAATTTATAACCACCTTAATTTGGATCTCGAATTTTGTTTTATTTATATTTTATTTACTTTCCTTATTTATATTTTGGGTAAAATATCATATTTAGTCCCTTTTATTTAATATTTATTTTTTAAACCCGAATAGTAATAAAGGATAAATTAGAATGCTAGTACCTAGCTTTTGTGATGTTCGAATTATGGCCATTAATGTTGATGTTTTGCAATTTAATCCCTGAACTTAATATTTTTAATTTTTATTATTATTATTTATTTACAATTTTATTGCCTAAAATATGATTCATTTACAATAGTTACCTTGAACTTTGTAGTTTTATAATTTAATCATTAATTTATTATTTTAATTTCACATATTTGTTAATTTTTAATTATAATATTTTTAAATGTTATTTTATTCGAGAAATTTATAAAAATGCGCCTTAACTAACAAGGAGTGTATTTCTAAGGATTATTCGTATAAAATAATATCATATTTTCATTTTATCATAATTTAAATATTACTTGAATTTGCCAATTTTTAATAATTAAAGATGATGTAATCGTAAGTACCAATTTTGGGCGTTGTGGGGTGTTAATCCTTCTTCACACGTAACCGAATCCCGAACTCTTTCAAAGCAAATCTCTGGTCAATCGTAGATCAATTTTTTATCTTTTAAAATTAAATTATTTTTCTTAAAATTATTTTAAAAGATACTTTGGGTTTTTGACTTACCTAACCCAAAAGTCGATTGGCGACTTCAAGTTTGTATTTATTTAAAATCCGACATGTGTTCTAATATTTAAGTCGGACCGATTCTCGATAAAACCCTAAAAAGCCCGACGGGGGCCATTTCAACAAGTAGTAGGAGATTCATCCTTTTAATTTGGACGAAAAGTCACAATTGATAGTTGTATGAATTGAAGAAGATGATGAACAATAAAGTGGTTAAACCAGCGAGAATAAAGATCTTGAGAGAGAGAAAATCATTTTTTCATTCTCAAATGATTGCTTATATTCTAACCTTTAATGATGGTGTCAAGGTTAGAGTCATTAAGACTATAGTAAGTTAACAACACAAATAAATTTAGCTGTCATATAATAGATTTGGTTTTGACAGATCAGATGAGTATGTCAGTAATCATATCAATAGACTATTAATTGTTCAAACGACGTATAATTTTAGAAGCTTCGAAAAACTATGAAAGCCTCGCTGACAGGGAAAGAATGACAGTGAGAGTGTTACTTTGAGGAGATCCTCCTAGAGATACAATAATATCGTTAGATATTAAGTTAAATTAATATTGACATTCAATTTGGATTAAAGTATAATTTTATTAGTCGAAGATTATATTTAGTCACTAAATTTATTTAATAAATAAATATTTATTACATAAATTATTTTTAAAAAATACTAATCTTTAATGAACAAGTAATAAGTGGATAAATAGATAGTGTTTTTAATGTTAGGTACGAGAGAGAGAATTTATATATGGGTGAGAAGAAATACAATTTTGTTTTGAAGTATTCTTTTATGGATGATATAACATTATTTATACAAAAATTATAAATTTGTATGGTTTTGTTTTCAAGTAATAATATTTGTTTTTGGTTTGTAAAAGTGTCACGTTGTTGTAATAAAATTGCGGTGTATCTAATTTAAACATAGTATTAAATTGGGTAAACTACACGTTTAATATCTAAATTATTATTTTTATTCCATTTTAGTACCTAAACTTTATTTCTTTTTTAAAATCATACCTAATATTTAGTTTATGTTTCAATTTGGTACCTCACCATTAAAAAATTAACAAAACTGTTAACGTGGTATTTTTATATTTTTAATGATGACGTGATATTAACTTGTGGTGACATATCAACGTCAATATTAAGTTTTTAACGGCGGAGTATCAAATTGAAACCTAAATTAAATATCAAATATAGTTTTGAAAAAAATAAAATTTAGGTACTAAAACGCAATAAAAGTGATAGTTTAAATACCAAATGTATAATTACCCTATTAAATTATGATCGTAACGTAATAAATCTAACGGTAATATCGTAATACTTTTTAAGATTATCCATACATATCAATAATTCAAAATATAGTTATTTAAAAAAAATAGATCATACCGTCCACAACATCATTAACCAAGACATTATCCATAACCATGATTTAGTATTAAAAGCCTACATTCTTAGACAACAATTAATATTAAATTACGATTGTGGTTGCCGTCGCGATTGTGGTTGCAATATTGTTATTGTGGCTATTACAAACGCTACAACATGATTTATTTTTAAAGTAATTATTTTTATGTTATAAATACAATTTGATGTTACAGTAATTTTGAAAAAAAACATTATAATTTATACTTTATTACATAGTATAAAATAGCGGTTGCGGATGCTGCAGACGTTACGTAACGTGTTGCAGTTGTCGCGGGAGTGATTTCTTCCTCAAAAATCACAATACTTCTAAAATATTTTATCACCTTCAAAACAATTACGATACGACCGTTACACTACTTTACGACCACAATTTAATACCATGCTTATTACGACCGCAATTCAATGATACGCAAACAAGATTATGAAAGTAGAACTGCTCACTTGCAATATTACAACAACCATGACGAACAACGCCAATGCCTCATACAAACAGAAGGGGAGAGAGAGAGGGAGAGAGAGAGAATTCAAGACGATCCAACAGTCTTGAAAGACTCATGAATGTGCCTTAAAGTCTCCTCGTCGCGTTTCCACTCCGGCGCCGGAGCGTTAACGAAATGAGCATAAAGCTTGTTCTTTGCACAAGTCACCGATATCAAACTATGCTTACCGATTCCATCGATCTCGTACACATAATAAAGCTGTCCATTCTCGTCCTTCTTCTCCTCCGAAACTAAGCTGTCGGCTCCGGCGATCAAATCCTGCAACTCCACGTCTGATAAAGCCAAGTTGTTCAAGATCACGTCTTTTGGAGCCATCTGTCTGAATCCTGCCAAGAATGTTAAGTACTCCTTCTCTTGTTTCTTCTTCGGATTGTAGAACTCGCTGTCTGTCCCATTGGTGCCCTTTTCCACTTTCGAAACTAAACGCTCTTTCCATCCCTCGGGGACGTCGTACACGTACTCGGCGGAGGCTTTCTTGTCGGAGTTTCCACCGTATCCTCCGTAGTTGGCTGCACTGGCGGCGGTGCCGTAGTAGATGCTGTATGTTGAGGAGGCGATAGAGGAGGGAGGGGAGGTTAGGATCAATGTGGAGGTGGCTAAAGCGGTGGTTAGAGCGGTGGCTAGCGGTTTGGGGAAGAAGAGTAGCCGTGGTTTCAGATGTGGGGTTTTAGAATTGGCGGTGGAGGAAGAGAGTACGGATGGAGGAGGAGGGGAAGATAGGGTCGCCATGGGAATTGGAGATATGAGTGGCTCCCTTATAGCTTATACAACATTTTATCTATCTCCCGAGATTTTCCTTATCCGAACTTTTTTTTAATTGGGATAAAGAAATATTTAATCCCTGAATTTGGTGAAATTTTCAATTTGGTCTCTGATTTTCTTTTGTCTACATTAACCTATAAACTTCACAACTTTTTAGAAGCATATCCCTTTTGTCCACATCAGTATACGTACTTGGAAACTTTTCCTTCACTAAATTTTTCCTCCGTCGATGGAACACCTACAATTCATTAACGACTTCTGCTCGATGCATGAACTACGTTGTCGGAAGTATAGCCGACAGCATCATCGTCGTCAGAATAATTCGGAGGTTGTTGCTCCTCATCATCGAACTAGGAAAGATTGTTCATGTTAATATTTTTTTCTGAACAATCCTTTCACCACTCGGACACCAAATAACTTGATATTGTCTTCGTCGCATGCATGGAAGTTGGTGAAGAACCGAATTTCTGACGGTGACGCATGAGCGAACCAACATGATCCAAATCACTTGAACAGGATTTTCCCCCTCTCAAGTTTTATTGTGACGACACCCGAAGTTGTTCTAAAGTGTGATCGAAAAAACAACCACAACTGCAATTTAAATTTCAATTTAAATTAAAATACTTTTAAAAAAAATAAATGAATGGTTATTTCATATAAACACCGAAAGATAATTATATCATTATACCTGCTTTTCATTTACTCTAATGACGTTAATTTATGTAATAAAGTTTTCAAAAACGAATTGATGATTATATAAAATTAAGAACCTTTATACGTGATCACACGCATTTGTTTATTTTTATTTTTAAAGGAAAAATAAACTTTTTAAACCAACTTTATTAATTTAATTATTCTAAATACTTAAACTTTAATTTAATTTCGATCCAACTGTTTATCTTTATTCTCTCATATTTCTTTAAATCATGAATTTTTGACCTAGAAAACTTCCTTTTCTTCCCCTACAACCCCCTTTCCCTTTCCAAGTAAAACTAAAATCATATTTAAAATTTGTCCAAAAAAAAATACATTTTTAACTCTCAAACTTTCAGCTTAGTTTTTATTTTGAATTGATTCAAACATAACGAAATAATAACAATTTTAAACTAACGTCAAATATTTTTATCATTTTCTATTTTCATAGAATTTTTTTTTTACCTAATATGTCATAATACAGCATGGATAGTAACAACTACATTGTCCCAAAAGGCCTAGATTGATGCTATTATTAAAATTCCAGTATACCACTCAATCTGCAACAATACGGCAGTGGCATCGTGTAGGCTACTACTATGTCGTACCAAAATAAAGATCATATACAATTATCACCCATTCGTCTCCAGCTGATGCTTCAATCTCATCTGTGGGTGAAACAAAAAATCCTAAATAAAATCCATTTTTTCCTTCTAAAATCAAAACAACGCCAGTTATTACTCATAATATTCAATTTCATCTTTGTCAGGTGATACCACTCTCCTCTTCAGCCAGATGCACCGGCAGCACGATTAACATCTTCACCTTGCTCTTCTCTAGCAAACTCTTCGATTAATTCGCGCTGTCTTGGGGTCAGATTCCTGTTCGTAAATCAAATTTGCTTTCAACTCCGAATATGATCGAGTACATCAAAAACATGGATCAGATGATGAAACAACTTGAGATATATTGGCATAAACACCTACTTTGGGATGCTAACATTGAAGTGCACATATTGATCCCCAAATGAGTAAGAGTTCCTTGTCTTAATTCCTGTTATCAAACATGCACAAATTGTATCAAAGAGGATGCACATTAAAATCAAAGACACCCAGAGTGCAAAAACTATATATATTTATATAAAACAGGTAGGTGGGTCCTCTTGAAACAAACAAGTTAGAAGATCAATGACATTTTCCTTTCTTTTATATCAACCTATATTATGGGGAAACTATTCGATACTCAGGCCGTGTAAAATTTGGACACCACGAGCATGACAAATTAGAATGTCATCTGACATATTTGAATGACCCTAAACCTTAAATCCAAATAGGACAAATGACATCAATACAACCCCACTTGTGGAACATCTATGAGAAAATAATCCTAATATTATATATGTGTGTGTGTGTCTGTGTGTGTATATAGAGAGAACTATCTATTATCTTATTCCCAGATCTTTTTCCCACCTTTATTCTTAAGAACAACCTTCTGGCCCGGTTGAGTGCCAGGGCGGACCTGCAAATTGGAAGCAACATAGATTCAGCAAAATAAGCATTCACTATAAATTCAAGAAATAATTAAAGGTCATTTTCTATGCGTTTAACCAATCATTCACAAGATCCAACAAACCTTAAGCACAACATCACCGGTAAGAGTTGGGACCTGGATGGTTCCTCCCAAGATTGCCTGCAAAAAGAAAAAGGGAAAAAATCCAAATTAATTCAGCTAAATCAGATAGGACCACCCTCACAAGGAGGACATAAACAAAAGGCATACTCAAGCAAACAGCAGGATATGATCCTAGATTTGTTAAACCATTTGTCATTGCACTGTATGAACATCTAAATCAGAGAAACAATCCATGGAAGACAGACAATTACGTAAACAGTGCTATCAAATATAGGCATTGCTCAAGACCTTAACATCTGAACCACTTCATAGCTTGTTTGAAAAATATTAAAATACCAGTTCTACCTGAACAATACTCAAAACAGCATCTACATGAATATTGGCACCTTCTCTACGAAAAACTGGGTCTTGCCGGACCTGCAAATATAAACATGATCAATGGAGGCAATGATCTTCAAGAAATGAAGAATAAAGACACTAAGCCGTTGCCAACTGCAAAATGGTAAAAGACCAAAAACAGACTCCCAACCAAAAAAACGGTAAGGTATATTTCGCTCTCAAGGGTGAAGAGTTGGACTTGAAATTTTGAAAGAATTCTGCAGACTAGGGTAATGAAGAATGGGGCAAAAGTGCATTGATCTGATCGGCTTAACTTCCCAAGTAGAAATAATGAACAACAGAAATAAAGACCAATAATTTAAACTAATATTTTTTTTTTTTTTGATAGGAATAGGATGCCTCATTAAAAACCTCCCTCTTAGTAGTCCTCAACCGTAAGGCAAGAACTAGCTAGCGGAAGGAGGAAAGAGTACATTAGTTTATTGAAGATAAAGCGATTACATAAAACTTAAAAACACTCCTTCAAAATACATAAGACATAAAAACGCTCCTGTAACATCTTCCCTCTAAGACATACGCACAACCGGAAACAATGAGTACAATCACCCAATCCCTTCCTTTGCTAGCGTGTCAGCCTCACAATTACAACACCTAGGAATCCACCTGACAATAACCTGAATTGCAGTAACATTAGACACAATTTCCTTAACAAAATTTGACAGAAAAACAGGAACTGAAACTTGATCTTTGATCCAATCCACTGCTTGCTTAGAATCACTTTCGATAATGAGCCTACCCTTCGAAACCCATTCTGAAGACACAAAAATGTCAATGCCTTTTTTTATAGCCTTCAGTTCTACCAGAATTGGAGTAGCAGGACCAACACTCTCTGAAAATGAAAAAAGTGTAACCCGATTCCAATCCCTGAGAATACCCCCTATTCCAGCCAACATCCCAACAGTAGTAACAGCCCCATCCACATTCATTTTAAAAAAATCCACAGGAGGAGGACTCCAGCATTAGTCAATACTGTGCAAATCCTTAGAAGTAGTACAATTGTCAGCCAAAAGAGGGATCACCAATTAAAGAATCAACCTGAACTGAGATTAGGGGATACTTTGATAAAAACCATTTTGCTAATCTGATACGAACAGTGAAAAACAATGAGATTCTGTCCAACTTTCCTTTTTCAAAGATGATCTCGTTCCTTATCTTCCAAATTGACCAAAATACTACCCCTGGAATAAACTTCCATATAGTAGAATTTGGCATCAAATCCGCCCACGAACTGAGCAGTTTGGGAGGATCAGGCGGTAGAGCTAACCGAATACCCCAGAACCCTATAAGCTTAGTCCACAGTTCCCATGAAACATGACAAAACAGAAAAAGATGATGAACTGATTCATTCCAATGATTACATAAAGGGCAAAGAATGTTCTCCCCTATATGAACCCCCTTTCTCAACAATTCCACTCTCACAGCAACCTTTTGATGGGATAATTGCCATAGGAAAGTCTCCACTCTAGGAGGAACTAAACAGTAAACCCAACCATACACATTTATTCCACTGAAAAGTATCAACTTGAGAAGAAGAAATAGCTTTCCTACATGCTTTCCTAATATTTTCTATCACAACTATATGAAACGACTTGTGAATGTACCACACATCTTTTACAACCTCCAAATCTTTGAGTACTAACCCCTATTACCACCAATTCCACAACATATCAGCTGCTTCACCACTGTTTCCAGAATTAAAGCATAGCCAGATTCTATCAATGGCATGAACTAAGGGATACCATATGTTGTGTCACATTGGGTTATCATTCTTTTAAGTCTACATTAAAGCCTAATTCTAAATTCGTTGTCCCCACCACTGCTTTCTTTATCAGCACACCATTCATTTTACAAGTATAACTCTGATCACCAATACTACCGTCTTTGCCAGCTTCATTCACCATTTCTGAAATAAGCTAAGGAAAGCACACACCCAAATAAACCAAATATATTCTATACTTCTATTCCATTTCTTAAACAAGCATGTACAGAGATAACGAATATATTGTTTTTAGAAGGATCAAATATTTACAGTTATTTCCTTTCCATGAAAGCTAAGCAAACTGTCAAAATATCAGACAAAACCTAAACTGGTTACCTTTATGGTTACATAAAGATCCCCGGGATGAGTTCTATCAGGATCAGCTCCACCACTTCCATAAATCTTCAATGTTTCATTGTTATCAACTCCTGAAAACAGGACATAACCTTGAGTCAATCATATGATAAAAACAAAACTTGAGAAGATCATGCATTTCAATAATTGATGTGAAAAAGGATCATAGTGACAGTGTGACACCACTTTATTGTTTTTTAGTTCTGAAATTGAAAATGAAAACGTGATGGTCCAATGCACTGTCATAGTCAACAAGCATGAAAAAGATGAAAAAAAGTTATCAGTAACAGCACTCTCTGGTTCCCATAACAAAGGAGAAAAGAAACTTTTTTTAAAACCATCGAAGGCAGCATGTATAAGTTCATAATTTGCTTAACCTACTCATTAGATGCAGTTTCAATGCCTTAAGTTCAGGTCCGCAGAGGAGTTTTTGGCTTTTAAAAACACACACATATCCACATTGCATGGGACTCAACAGAAACCTCCATGAATCGTATAATGGACATGGCAAGTTAAACCATTAACAAAGCAACCACCAATAGACATTTAACTTTGTAAAGTACCTGGCATTATGTCTAACTTGACTGTTTTTGGTCCTTTCACTAATCTAGCTCCATTGCATGACTTGCAAAGCTTCTGTAACCAGCAGTAAGTAAAGTGATCTCAAATGGCAATTTCAAAACAAAAAATCAAACTGGAATAAAGTAAAAATAAAACAAGTTTTTCATGATAAAAGCATGAAATAATAAACAACATTAATTGCTCAGAGGCATTTTATCCAGAAAAAAGAAAAGAACAAGAAATCATAGTAAAATCGGTTTTTCATGCAGATGCTAAAAGATTCCTATTGGCTTGGAATGACTTGAAGACCAACTCTCTTATCTGGCCATTTATTCCTGGAGCTGTTCTATGGACAATTTGGAAGACCAGGAATTTTATTGTGTTTGAAGGAGGGAAGCTTGACCGAACAGAGATTTTCTTTCTAGCTAGGTGCAGGCTTGCTTCATGGTTTCTAGCTAAGGAAACTCAAGTTACTATTTCCAAGGATGATATTATTGCTGACCCGTCCATAGTGGATTCCTACTCATCCCATTCTTATCGGGTTTCAACCGTGTTTCCTTGGTCCCCTCCTCCAAAAGGTTTTGTTAAACTTAATGTGGATGCGGCTACCTCGAGTGATTGGAAGAGGAGTGGCTTAGGTGGTATTTTGAAAGACATGTCTAGTGCGATTCTTGGCTCCTTCAAAGAGCCGGCTGGTCCGGGGCCCCCAACTTTAATGGAATTGAAGGCTATCCTAAAGGGTTTAGATTTTTTTGAATCTATTCGTCATAGGGTTAAAGATAGATTGATTATTGAGAGTGATAGTCAGGTGGCAGTTGGCTGGATTAAGGATGTGGTCTCTTGTCCTGTTGTTTATGTTCAAATAGTTAAAGACATTATTCAAAAGCTTAGTGTTTTTGAAGGTTTTATTAGTTGGGTTAGTAGGACAGCCAATATAGAGGCGGATGTCCTAGCTAAGGAGGGTATTGGTTGAATTATGCTCTGTTAAGGGCTGTTTCTTTTTGGTTTTATATCTCTTGAGGGAGATGGTTTGTATTACTTTGTTTATATTTGAGTTTATTGAATCCTAGGGCACTCCTTTCCTCCTTGTGTGGATTAAGGAACTATTTTAAAGTTCCGTTAACCACCAAGGGGGTTTATTGAGGCCTTTTATTCCTATCAAAAAAATAGTAAAATCTAAATTCATGAGAAAATTAATTACTTCCATTAGCCATGAAGAAAACAATTGCATTGAAAAAAAAACTCAAATAAAAACAGCATAAAGCAACAAAAGCAATTATACCGATACAAAAGCAAACTGATCACAATCAAAACTCGAAGAAACTATAAGTGAGAGAACTTGGATGTATATCATACCGATACAAACTGACCAGTTCCACTACAATGAGGACAAGTAGAACGAATACTCATAAAGCCCCTGTTGATAGATAGCTGAGACAACAGCAAAACCATAAGTTAAAAAGGAGATTAATTAATTCCCTCACATTTGAAATTAGGAGTATCTCAATAATTCTGAGGGCTTGCATGATTCTATTCCAGTAAACTAACCATGCCTGAGCCTCCACAGTGCCGGCATCTTTCAGGTTTCACGCCAGGAGGAACACCTTCTCCACCTGAAAAATGGAGAAAATAACTTGAGACCAAATAAGTTTATCCACATAGGTTTATATATTTGGTTCTTTTATCATTAACTTTTCAAAGTTATTGTTTGCTTCTGCATCCAAGACACTTTTTTCCTTCTAAAAGCAGAAAATAAAAATAAAGATACCAACCATATACAGTCTAGTGAAATAAAAAGGATACAAAGAAACAGTTATGAGAGATTAGAATATTTTGCAAGACAAAAGAGATTACACGAGGGGGGGAAAATATTGTTTCAGAGGCAAGATAAGGCATACCACAAGCTTGACAAAGCACTGGAGCTTGAAATGTCACTGTTTTGGTACATCCTTGAACAGCTTCCATAAATGATAGTTCAATAGCAACCTAAGGTATGGTAAACCGCACATGACAACTCAGAATAACAAAACAGAGTAATAACATAATTATCAACAATGAAATTCGAATTCATGAAAACCTTGATATCTTCACCACCCATTTGATTTCTGAATATATCATGAGCGTTGAATATCTGGTCAAGCATATAAGAATATCGTGTTACTAATTGAAAACAATAAACATGAAAAGCACTATGAAACCTACATATAAGCATGTTCACCCCTCCAGCAACAATATTCTCATGCAAGGAACACAAAACATGCCAACAACAAGAGTGTTGACCACCAGACAAATACAAATACAAGTAACCAAGCATAAAAAATCAACTAAGTACCAGGCACTGACATCTCCAGTATCAATAATATTGTGAGAAAAGTATCACCCTAGGGGTGAGCAAAACTCAACTCAACTTGAAAAACCGATTTTTTCAATTCGGCTCGATTTGAAAAAATTCCGACCCGAATTGACTCAACTCATAATTTTATAAACTCGACCCTACTCGAAAAAATTTCAAATTCGAGTTGAGTTATAAAATAGAACTTGAATAACTCAAAATTTTTAATAATGAGTGGATTGGTATTCAAGTTTGAGTCGAGTCCCTCAACTATCTATGATATATCAAATATGAAAAAATAAGGAATATATAGGTACTGTATATGGTTAGAAATCATTTAAATTGGAATCAAATAGTATAATAATATTATAAATATTTACAATTAAATTTAAACATAAACTTGACTCGAGTCAAAATTTTTTTAAATAAAGTTTGATTTATAAAATATGACTCATCAACTCAAAGACTCGACTTGACTCAATCGAACGCTCACCACTAATCACACCTATGTCTATTTCTCTACTGACCTTGACAGTATCAGATCATCCAATAGCAATGCAGTTCACGAGTCTTTTCATTAGGAAATAATAATAGTACCAAACTTGAACCTCCACCAAACTAAAAAGAAGAAGCTATTTGACTGTTTCACTCTCGTCCTTAAGGGCTCTTGAATTTACATAAAACATTTTTCATCTCTTCTACAACATGGGGCATCACATATCTTAATATCCCACAGTTCAGGAATAAGCTCAAAACTTGCTCTTCCTATAACTGAGCACTATTCCATAAAAGAGCAAGTGAAATTGAATATTATCAATTATAAAACACGAAAAGAAGCTTTAAGTTCACTAATTAGAAAGTACATCCTTGACTAAATGTAACCAAAACCGACCAATAATGTTAAAAGAGACTTACATCATGAAAGTTGGTGAATTTGAATGGATTAAAATCTTCTTCGCTAAAGCCACTATTATTTTGCTGCTGTTCAAATGCGTCATGGCCAACCTATAAAATTTTGCACATAACTAAGCTAAGGTCAGCAGAGCAAAAGAGTACCAAAAAAAGTATTTTTACATAAACCTTCCGGGAAACATTTGAGAAGCTATAAATTCAACAAGGTACATATCAATTGAGCAGGAAAATGACATTTGTCATCTTGCCTTCTCTGCTTAACGTATTGACTAAAACAGTACGGGTATTGAAAACATTTTCCATTTGATAAAAAAATGTTTTATGAGAACAACAAATAAAAAAATTTACCACACCTGATCATACTCAGCACGCTTGTTATCATCTTTTAAAACCTACAATAGAACAAATAAAATTGATTGCTTTCAGGCTTCAGTCCCAAGAGAAATTAACCATGAAAAAGACAAAAATCCCAGGCGAGAAAAACTTACCTCATAGGCCTTGGAAACTTCTTGAAATTTTTTCTCAGCTTCAGGATCATCTTTATTTACATCCGGATGGAGCTTTTTCGCAAGCTATAGAATAGCAAGAAAATGTTGAATCAAGGATAACAAATAATAGAATTCTGAAAAAACACCCAGAGTGCAAACGAACATAAAGACATTCAAATCCACTCTCGCTGACAGAAAGACGATTAGATAGAATATAGAAGAACAATTTACCCCAAAATATGCTTTCTTTATTTCAGATGAAGTAGCATTCTTGTTTACACCAAGTACATCATAATAATCTCTAGCGGAGAGAGGAGCTGAACCCAGAAGATAAATATCAGATATAGAAGAGAGTAAAATAATGCATCCTCGATATATTTATATACGTGGGAAAAAAAGGGAACTTGTAAAGTACCAGTGCCATGAATTGACCGTCTTGCACCCAAGTTCAGATTAAGAACTCCAAAAACCAAGCAGTTTCTAGTTTTAGCTGACATTGACAAGGCATGTAATTCATTACTAGGGGAAAAAGGGGAAATTTACCAAAAACCGAAAGAATCGAAACTGTAAAAGGGTGAGACAGTAAATAACCCAATTGAGGAGTGTGATTTCCAATTGGATTTCCAAGTCCGGCAGTGAAGCTCCTCAAACCCCTCTGTATTTACAATTGAAGAAAGATATTATTAATGGAAAATCCAAACTTTGATTATCGGATCATAAAATAAAAATAGAAGGAACTAAAACAGATAAAAAATTATTAGAATAAAAAAACGTACAGAATTTGGGTGGTGGCAAAGGGTAGAGGAAAGGGAGTGAGAGCGGCGAAGGAAGCAGTGGATAAGCCTAACCCCATTAGACCCAACCATTTGAGACGTATTTCACTCAAATTCCCCTCGTTTTTAGGGCTCTTACCTATATTTGAAATCTCAACCGAGGCGAAACAAGAATTAATTTTAATTTTAGGGAAAAGGGAATGAAAGAGTTGAAACTTTGGTTAAACCCTAACAAACCCTGAATTGGTTTTTGGTAACTAACTGGGAACACCGGAATGTTCTAGGCTTTTGGTGCAGTAGGGCTGTTAATAAGGATCTTATAATCTTGAGAGAAGAACAGAGAACCACTCACCCAGATCCATTATACAGAGAAAACAGCAAGTCTCTTTGTTGGACTGTCCTTTGGGTTTGGGCCTTGAGCTATCAACAGTAAGCTTTATGCGTAAATGACAGCCATGAAAGAAGCGTAAATGGTTCTAGTTCACCAGCTAATACAAAATATCTTTATTTTGCTATAGAATAGGGAAATTCTCTTGTTATACATAAATAGTGGTACTCAATTAATTGAGTAGTTCATGAGTTGTTTTAATTTGTTTTAATTAAAACTTGACTAATGCTCGACCTTAACTAATTGAGTTGAATAATGTTTAACTTAACTCGATAAGTTCACGAACAGTTCGTTAACTTTTTTTAAAAATTTTTAGTAGTTTTCTTCAAAAAGTATTTCACTAAAAACTCTGATTAATAATTAATATTTTACTAATAGATTACTAATTAATAATTAATAGTGATTTTTTAATAAATAACAAGAAAGATAGTAAATTATTAATTAGATTTTATATATTATTAAAAAAATAAGATTTCTTTTTTTTGGTGAATTTAACAAGTAATGAATCTAGTCGAGTTGAGCAACAAGTTTTTTAATGAGCACTAATCGATATCACTTAACGAGTAACAAAATGAGTCGAACAATATTTTTTTAGGGAACACGAATCAAACCAATAGTATAACCCATAGTAAGTTACAAAGTTTTGGGCGTCGTAGAATAATTTAATCTCCAATACTCGTGATTAATTTTTGAATTCAATTTTTACTTCATTTTAAATGTATATTTTTTAATTATCATTTTAAGCATGTTTCCGTGTAATTATAAATAACGATTTTATAGATATTAATATTAATCTAAAATAATATATAACGAATATATTTTTTAAAGATATGTTTTTCGTGAAGAAATGTCCAACTTAAAAAAAAGTTCTGACAATTGTTATACAATATTTGTGAAAATGTAGATTTAATTATATTTAAAAGTATAGTATCTTTTTATTTAAAAATTTAAACAATATGCACGAATCAATCGGTCTTGATGGTAAAAAGATTATTATTATTTCTTAAAATTTCGGATTCAAAATACTATGTATACCCGATATGTGAGTGTGCATTGTACTTACCCGAGTTAATGAACAACTAATATAAAAAATTCAGATTTCAGGATAAGCGTATCTCGGATTAATAAAAATATTAAACAATTTAGATAAACCATAGAAGTTGTATGAAGAAAAATAAAAGGTTGATGACAGACCATGCACTGCCACATTATTTTTTTTTGAAGTGATGCACTGCCACATTAGTTTGAAGAGATAGAGGGGTATATATGACCACACACTCCCGACATACGTGGCCGAGGAAAGGTCTTTGTTATCCCCACGTGGCAGGGATTCGACAAGCAGCGTGAAGTCTCATGTTCAAGGTTTCTTATGATTCTAACACCTCAATTCCTCTTTCATTCATAAATTAATAAATACTTTTAAAAAATAATTAACAGATGCACACTTATAATTAATTATATACATCACTAATAAACTAATGATAACTTTATTTAAAGCGCTATTTATAATCACAAACAATAATTACATGGTTATAATAAATAATCCACACTATAGGTATAATTAAAATGATAATTAAAATATACTTAAATTTTAAATATAAAAATTTAAATTCGAATTCAAAATCTATTTAAAAATAAATATATTTTTTTTATAAATTATATAAATATTTATCATACCTCTTCTGGATCTCTTCCATAAAGGACCAGGACCTTCTCCACATGCTAGACAAGGTTGCACCATTGTTGTTTTCTTCGGAGCTCATCGAAGCCTATGGAGATATTCCTCCATCGGTCGAAGCCTTTAGAATTCTTAGAAGCCTTTGGAATTCCATATCCTTCGATTGGTTGAAATCTCTTGACTTAACCATTGACAGGTCCACGTGATATGTCAAAGTCAAATATATTATATGATAACCATATTTATTCAATATTTCAACCTACAGATAATTATAATGATTTTAAACTTGACATTAATAGTAAGGGTTGATATATAAACTACTATGCAAAACTGAAGAGAGGGACACACTCTCTCTTTCTCTCTCTAAATGGCTCTCTATAAGCTTACTTCTTTATTCATCTCATCTTCATCCCATCAACCACTGACTATGACTCTCTGCCCTAAATCAAAAGGGTTAAATCACCTACGACCGTCATAATCTCAATTTTCTCATCAACAATTAGTGTGGTGAGCATAGACAACCTCCCGACCAAAAAAATAGTCAAAATGAACCCTAACCAATCTTACCTCTCATCTCCTTCCCAAATATCCTATGTAATTCCTCATATTATTCTCTGATGAAAAGTTTGCTATAGTTGCTCTCAAGCTCATAGCATATATGTTTTTTGTTGAGAAAGATAGACTCGACGATGTAAGTTTTTTGATCGATCATTTGACATAAGGCCACGCAGAAAGCAAGTATTTTTTATAAAGAGAAATTTGATTTTATTCTTTTAGTTTTCTAGTGTAAGTTGTTTAGTAAAGAAGTCTGCTCAAATGTTGAGTGCATAAGACTCATCTAGATCAAATTTATTGGTTAGTCATCTATCTTTACTGTAGATTAGATGAGATGAGATTATTTACACTCTTAGATGAGTCTACCAATACTTTAGTCGAGATGAGACGTAGAGTACAACTTAACGACTTCTCGCACAAGTACTAGGTAAAACTTTTTTATATATATATTAGAATTGACCTCTAATGCATGCAAACATCAAAGTTCTATTTCATCCGCTTGCGTTCCAGAAATCTCCAAAGGTATGTCCTCGACCACCCCACCAAGAATATTTTCTTGTTGTCTTTCTATGAGTATCTATATCCTCCATCTATGTAGTCATAACGTTAAGATATCTCTGATCACTCTGTTTTATTTTTTCACGAGCGCCAAGATGCCTCCTCTCTAGCCAAGAGCATTTAGATGCCTCTACAACACTCTAACTGGAAGGATTTCTTCGTTATCTCTTTATTATCCGTCTGAAGAGTTGAGATGCCTTTGTTACGGATAAGTAACATCGAGATACCTCCGCCTACTTTATAGAAGTGTCAAGTTACCTCCGCCCATCTTGTAGTCTCTCTACAAGGGTGAAGAGTTGGCTCCACCTCAACCTTACAACTTATAGAATCTACTTAGGGGTCGAGTTGCCTCCACTCAAACAGTAGGAGTTCATTCATCGTTTTTTAAAGAGCGTCGAGATGTATTTGCCCTGGCAAGCGAAAGTCCTTTATGGTTCTTACCGATGTGAAGATGCATTAGTACAACATGCAGTATTCATTCGGGAGCGTGGAGATGCCTCTGCTCATCATACAGTGTGTCTGGAGCTAAGTTACTTCCTTTACTAGTCGAAAGCTTCAAGATGTCTTTGTTCCCCTCCAACTGAAATTAATCTTCCACTATCTCTCTAACACCAACCAAAAGAGTCAAGATGCCTCAATTCTATCAATATAAGTCTCTTCATTACTACCTAGAAAACGTTGAGATGACTTCACCTTGAAAGTGTTGATATGTCCTTGCACATTACGTAGTAGTTCATTAGAATATAGAGTTACCTCACACTCTTGCTGCCATAACTTAAAAGAATCATCTAAGAAGTGTTGAGATGTTTCATTTTCAGCAATATGAGTCTCCCTATTGCTATCATGAGTGTCAAGGGGAAATCAGAAATTCTTCATTACTTTTACCAAGGCGTAGATATATCTGCCCGTTCATTAGGCTTCTCCAAGGGTGTAGAGTTGTATCATCTTTAGCCAAGAGAATGAAGATGCCTCCATTCCACCCTAACTAAAGGGACTATATTGTAATCTTGTTGGGAACTAACTAAAGAGAGACAAGATGTCTCTACTACAACTATAAGTATTTATCCTTAGCCCCTACAGAGAGTTGATAAACTGTTGTTTTCTCTATTTTCTCATTAGAGTATTGAGAATCCTCCATTGTATATATATTGGCGCGGAAATAAATCTGTCAATTTGTTCCAACAACAAATGCCTTCCTATGTAAAGTCTTGGTTCAAATCACTTTATGACATTCCTTCGACCAAGGGGGGCAAGTTTTATACCTTATTTGAATTTCCCCTACAAAAGGATCTTCTTTTTTTTAAGCCACACCTCCGTTGTTATTCATCCAGAGCTCCACATCCTCCGGAGCCTCTAGAGTTCCATATTCTCCAAATGACTATAATGTCATTGGTAAACTCATATGATATATCAGAGTAAAATCTACTAACTGACAGTCATATCTATTTAACATGTCAATTCCACTATTCGTATTCTTCTTCATCTCACTAATCACCAGCTGCAGCTCTCCATCGAGGTCAAAAGACCACCTACATCCGTCACAATTCCAATTTTCTCATTAACAATATTATTATTCGAATCTAAATAAAATATATGAGTATTATCATATAAATCTAAAAAATCTAAATTTAAAATTTAAAATTTAAAATTATATATCAAATTCAAATCAACTAAAACATTATCAATTTAATTTTGCAACTTCAAGTTAAATTAAGATACTCAAATCCATAATCTGTATATCCTTATTCGGATAATAAATATTTTAATAAATTTATCTATATTAATTTAAAATTGATAATAAATAATAATTTTATACCCGAATCGTGCAATGATGAAAATAGTAGAAACAATCATTCATAGATATAAATCCGAATTGCCATAACTTGAAATTATTTGAGAGTGATTTGTTTATATTATTTTTAGGAATTAGGCAACGCGCAAATACAAAAGGTCGCAAAATCAGATCTTTAAGCAAAAGAAAAACCTCATCTTCTGCTATCTTTGTTCAATTCTAGATCATCTGTTTTCATCAATCAAGTTCCTGGTGGAGTACCTTTACCTCT